GGTAGGGGGGGGGGGGTAGGGGGCATTTAGGGGACATGGGAGGGGCTGGGGGACATTTAGGGGACATGGGGGGGGCTGGACATGCCTGGGACACACGTGCAGAGCTGGGACACACACGGGATACACGTGGGACATGCCTGGGTCATACATAGGACACGTCTGGGACACACCTGGATCACACGTGGGACACACATGCAGAGCTGAGACATACAAGACATGCCTGAAACATGCTTGGGTCATACCTGGGACACACATGCAGAGCTGGGACACGCCTGAGTCACACCTGGGACACATGTGCAGAGCTGGTACACACATGGGACACGCCTGGGTCATACATAGGACACGTTTGGGACACACCTGAGTCCCACACGTGGAGCTGGGACACGCCTGGGACACGCTTGGGACACGCCTGGGACACGCCTGCAGAGCTGGGACACGGGTGACACACGTGTGCAGGGACTCAGGGCAAGCCCCAATTCTGGGGGGTTTTACCCCAAATCAGCAGGTTTGGGAAGGCCCCAATTTGGGCAGGTTTTACCCCAAATCAGCAGGTGGGGGGGGGCCCCAATTCCAACAGGTTTTACCCCAAATCAGGGGTAATTATGCCCCTAATTAAGGTACTCACAGGGCAGTGAGGAGGTTGAAGGGGTTGTAGCCCCACACACTCGAAGTTCATCAGTGCCATGGCCTGCAGGTCCTGCAAAATGGGGAGAAAAACAGCCATTTTGGGCAAAAAAGAGCAGCTAAATTTAGGCAAAAATAGTGGTTTTATGTTAAAATTATAATAACAAGGTGCTTTTGGCAGGACTGACCTTGTCGGTGAGGAGGAATTCCTTCATCAGTGTTTCCCTGGGGAGGAGAAAAACAACATAAAAGTGAATTTTTTTTGGGAAAAACCACCCAGTTTGGGGGTTTCGTAACCCAAGGGGGTGTTTTTTCCCCATTTTGGGGAGATTTGGGGGTTGTTTCTCACCCGGGAGGACGAAGAAGGCGTCGGGTTCCCTTTGGTGCAGGTGGAGAAATTTTGGGTTAAAAATGGTGAAAAGTCCTTGGTTAAAAAAAAAAAAACAAGAGGCTGGGAGAAAAGGAATCTGGATTAAGAAAAAAAAAAAAAAGAGAAGAGAAATCCCGAGTTAAAAAAGGAAGAGAGAGAGAATTTTCATACCCATTTTAGTACATTCTGCTGCTAAAACAGTTTATTCACACCCAGAGGCACCAAAATTTGGCTCCCGTGAGGTAAAAGGTGGAGAATTGTCTCTCCCTCCTCAGGGGATTTTCCAAGGAAAGAGCACTTAAAAGGGCTCAAAACCACTTCAATTTGCCACCTCTCCTTTGATGCCAAGGCAGAATTAAACAGAGACAGGACAAGGGCACAGCAGAGCCCTCAAAGCTGGAAACTCTCCCTTCAAATCCCCATTTCCTCACCACAATAAAACAAAAACAAGGGGGGAAAATTTAAAAAAAATTTTTTTTTAAAGGTTGTTTTCACCTCAGAGCGCCAGGGCGCAGCGTCTCCTGGGCATCCTGGGCAAAGAAGGGTAAATTCATCTCAGGGCGGCCGCTTTTTCCCCTCAGGAAAAGGATAAAACGGGAAAGGTGAGAAAAACCCCTCAGGGACTCCGACCCTTTCCCGCCTTTTTCCCTCAGCGGAGCGGGGGGCGGAGCCACGATAACCCCACCCCAATCATGTCGTCAGCCAATCATAAGGCGGAGAAAGTACTGAGCCACGCCTCTTTCTCCGCCCCCTCAGCCGCCGCTGTCTGTCAACGGCACGGAGGCGGGACGCTGGGCGATCTCAGCCAATCAGAGGCGCGAAGTGCGAAGACGGCGTCGCTGATTGGCTGAGCGCCGTGAGGGGCGAAGTGTGAAGGGTGGGGCGGCCGCGGCGCCGCGCGAGGAGTTTGGGGGTTTGCGAGGGAAAAAAGGGGCACGAAGCGTCAAGTGTGAGGCGAGGCGTGGAAAAAAAGGTGAAAAAAGGCAACCCCCGGATCAATTTGGGCAACCCCGCGGGCTGAGGAGGGTTGTTCTCCCTCGCCCGCGCCTCCCCTCCCATAGCAACAACCGCCGGCCAAGCGGCGTCGCGCGACGAATTTTTCTGATTGGCTGAACCGCGCCGGGACTGGCCAATCAGCGCGAGACACGGGACCCTCGGCGTTCCCGCCCCCACCGGCGCCGGCTGCTGGGCGCCTCGGGCCGTACCAAGTACGGGCACGCGGGGGGG